TGGGTTGGCAAGAGAGAACGTAAATCAATGCCAATAAACACAAGTAAACCTTATAGTAGCATGTAACTTTGGGGATTAATTAAGCACGATATAAGAGAAATAAGGGTTTACAACATAAAATATCGATATTTATGAAATAAACATACCTCCAATTAGTCGAGGATAACTCCGGAAGTTATCTATGTTAGATCCGACCAATTTAAGAAGAAGGCGATAAGTGCTAAAGCAGTAAGGAATATAAATGAAACGATCAAAATCGTATACGAAAATAGTTACAATCCAGTGAAACGCACGCAGTGCTGCCTGTGAAATTGATTCCAGCCAAGTGTGGATGACTTGAAATGATTCTGCCAAAGAGCGGACCATCAGATGGGACGAAATTGATGACGCCATCAGGCAAGCCAGCTTCTTTAAAGATTCTAAAAATAAGTTATTAAATAAAAATATATGAAAATCACCTATATACAAGGTAATTTGAATAGACGGACGTATCTGATGGTTTCCATAGCGCAACATTGCCCATCAATACTGGAGCGCTAACAAGGTTACCAGCAATCGCAGTAAAATTAAAGGGAGGTATGCCGACCCAGAAGCCCTACAGGTTAAAATGCGTGAGTTAAATACAACCTCAGTAGGTCTGTAGACGAGTTCATTCGTTGCGTCCGTAGTGCTTATTGGTTTGTACTTAAGAACTTCCTAAATTCGGCTGATAAATAATCCAAAACCTACCGAAGCAAAGTAAACATTAAAGCGAAGGAAGTCGGCAAGTTCAGCCACAGCATCAATTTCGGCCTGAAAAATTGTTTTTCCCTAAAAAGATGAGAGTAATTATTAGTACTTGGCCAAGAATGGTCGCGGCCAAAATTTCGTTTCTGTATTTTGTGCTGATGAGATCAGCAGCTTTCAGGAATATACTGGCTCGCGTATCAAAGGACGTGCGAGACCAGTTATGCTTAGCTTTAAGAGAGCTCGAGATAGCATCACGGATGTGAGACTCCTCGGCGTAGTAGAATTGAGCTAATTTAACTTTGTGATCAAAAGGCTAAAATAATTAAGACTCAAGATTACATAAAATTGGTATTTTATGTTTTTTGTTTTTATATCGA